TTTGAATGCGATAAGCCGAAAATCTCCGGAAAGACGGAACCGAAGCGCCCGGGGTCACACGGAACCGAACCAGGGAAGGGGCAGACACCAAGTCCAACTCGTACGCAGAGGGGGGAAAAAGAAACCCCCACTCCTTGTAACAGTAAGCCCCGCTCAGAGGGTATAAAAACCCAGGCGGGGTCCAGTGGGGTCCAGCGGGGCTCAAGGCCCCCAAGTCAGCCCCAGGGTCCTCCTCCGCAGGACCCTGGGCCGAATCCTCCCCCCAAGCACCTCCTCCACTAGACAAAGCCGGCGCAGCGGTACCTACCTTGAGGCTACCTTGAGGCTACCTTGAGGTGCTTCCGGGGCTTAGTGTCCCCGCGGCCCGGTCGTCGACCAGGCCTCCTGGTTGCTGGACTGATCAACCAAGCTGTTAGACGTGGCTGCTCGCAGCCTGACGTATGAGTCACAGCCTGGTTGATCAGGTATCCTTTGGAGGTGCTTATCCAGTTCTCTCTTGAACACTGTGAGGGGTTTGCCAGTTATGCCCCTTATGTGTAGTGGAAGCGTGTTGAACAGTCTCGGGCCTCTGATGTTGATAGAGTTCTCTCTCAGAGTACCTGTTGCACCTCTGCTTTTCAACGGGGGTATTCTGCACATCCTGCCATGTCTTCTGGTCTCATGTGGTGTTATTTCTGTGTGCAGGTTTGGGACCAGCCCCTCAATTATTTTCCACGTGTAAATTATTATGTATCTCTCCCGCCTGCGCTCAAGGGAGTACAGATTTAGGCTCTTTAGTCGGTCCCAGTAATTTAGATGTTTTACTGAGTGGATTCTAGCAGTAAAGGATCTCTGCACGCTCTCTAGGTCAGCAATTTCTCCAGCTTTGAAAGGGGCTGTCATTGTGCAGCAGTACTCCACTCTAGATAGCACAAGCGTTTTGAAAAGTATCATCATCGGTATAGCATCTCTAGTGTGAAAAGTTCTTGTTATCCAACCTGTCATTTTTCTTGCAGTTGTGACGGCTACTTTATTGTGTTCTTTAAAGGTAAGGTCTTCCGACATGACATTGCCTTTTCGTTCTATGTTATGATTTGCCTGCATTTTGTACGTGGTTTCTGTTTTTATATTTTCAATTTTTCCGTAGCGCATGAGCTGAAACTTATCCTCGTTGAATACCATATTATTTTCTGTAGCCCATAGAAAGACCTGATCTACATCTGATTGGAGGTTTGCCGTGTCCTCTATGTTGCCAACTCTCATGAAAATCCTAGTGTCATCTGCAAAGGATGATACAGTGCTATAGGTTGTGTTCTGGTCTATGTCCGATATGAGGATGAGAAAAAGTACTGGAGCAAGCACAGTACCCTGGGGGACTGAGCTCTTCACGGTTGATGGGCTGGATTTTATTTTGTTGACTATTACACATTGGGTTCTGTCAGTCAGGAAATTGTAGATCCATCTGCCTATTTTCCCGGTAATTCCGTTTGAACGCATTTTATGTGCAATAACACCATGGTCACATTTATCAAAAGCTTTTGCGAAATCTGTGTAAATTACATCAGCGTTTTGTTTATCTTCCATAGCATCTAATGCCATATCATAGTGGTCCAGCAACTGCGACAGGCAAGAGCGCCCTGTTCTGAAACCATGTTGTCCGGGGTTATGGAGATGCTGTGATTCCATGTATTTTGTGATCTTACTTCTTAGCACTTTCTCAAAAATTTTTATGATGTGCGATGTTAGTGCTATCGGTCTGTAATTTTTTGCCTCTGCCTTATTTCCTCCTTTATGGAGTGGTGCTATCTCGGCTCGGTAGAAGCCGGCGCAGTGGTAGAAGCCGGCGCAGTGGTAGAAGCCGGAAAGAACGAAGCCCACTGGTCAGACCCAGAGGCTTCAGCCGGGGGAGGAGACTCGAATGCCTCCGTCGCCACACCGGAAGGGACATCCCCAGAGGCTGCCCGAGTCTCAAGACCAACTAACCCCTGCCCCGCCTCCGAAACCCTCAGATGTTTCGGGGCCAGAAGCAGGGGAGGGGGACCAGAACGAACAACCAGAGGGGAAGGACTAGGAGGTGCGGACTGAACCAGGATCAAAGCGATTCCCAACCCCCACATCCGGGACCCTATAAGCAAAACGGGGCAGCTGCAAGGGGATCCGGATGAGCAGCCAACCGAGCAACAAACGAAACCTAGAATGCAACGCCTGTGTACCCTGTACCTGAAGATGATCATCCAAAGATTGAGTAAATTGAGTCACCAGCAAGAAACAATACTCACAGGACTCAGGGTCGAAAGTGTCACTGACCCAACAGGCTGCGTAACTGAGGCAAAAACAGTGAGGGTCGCCTTGAGACAAGGGAACCGAACAACTCTCAAACTCACACGAAGCGAGGGGGGGAGGACCCCAGGGACACATCCATCGGACCCACGCGTCCCCTAGAGGATTCCCAGGGTTCTGAGCGTTTACTTCAAGAGGACTCACGCTCAGGTAAACCCAGGCGGGGTACTGCTAACAGGTGCCCAAAACTACCAAACAAACTGTCTAAAGCTGAGCCCTAGGGATGTGTACATTCACGGGGACCAAGCAAGAGGCACCACCAAGTATCAGGGTGAAACCAAACACCAGAGGCAAATAGGGCAGAACCCCCCACCAAGGCAAAAACAAAAAGAAAAACAAAACCCTGCAAGAGGACAATGTACCCCAAGGAACAGGGCTGGCTGCTGTGATAGGTGACAACTAGCTGTGCAGTACCCTACACCCCTTACCAGCACAAAAACTGCCTCTTACCCTAAGGTAAACTAGGGAGACAAAACACCCAAGTACCCAAAGGGTGGTTGAAAAACCGAGCAGTAAAATGGACACACAGAGGCAGACCCCAAGGAATTTGTGGAAGCTAACCCCAACCTCCAAGGGCAGTACTTACAAGGCACCTAGGGAAGGGAACCCTAGGCACATGCAGTCTGAGTACTGAGGAATAACTCCTGGCTCATGCACCCCTGGAGTACAGCAGCCACACACAAGGTACAGCGCCTCAAGAAGACCGGAGCCAGAGCACACAACCGAGCCGATAGCATCAGCCTCAAGAACTGGGGTGTGGATCACCGGCGTGGTATGTCTGGGGCTACCCTTTCCCCCTCCCAGGGAGGGGGGGAGCTGCACAGACAGTGGCGTGACGACATCATACTAGTTTGCTCGTTTTTGTTTGGGGAGTTCTATCCACTCGTTTGGATTTTGGTTGCAATTTTCACCAGAATAGGGGTTTGTTTTGGGACGCCTTCCTTTCTGGGTGCCTAACCCGGTCGATGGCAGACATAGAATGCTTCCAATTATACATGGGTGTCTATAGGCCATTGCTCCCCTTGCCTCTCTAAAGCGGGGCAGGTTCTGGCTCGTGGTCCCCAGTAGGCCCATAAGAACTCCATACACATGACTGAAGCCAAAGTCTGACACTAGCATATCAGCCTAGTGAGCTCAGGGGAGCCGTAGGGGCTCCCCCCAGAAAGACTCTGACATCTGAATAAAAACAATCTTGTGGTAGATGGCCCACCATCAGGCTCGGCAATGTGCCAACTCTCACTCTCTAGATCTTGGGCAACACACATCCCTGTGGAAGAAGAAAACACTGAGGCTGAGCCTAGAAAAAGGGCACTTAAATACCTTCAATGCTCTACTTTTGGACTATCTCTTCAACAGTTCCCCTTTGCTTTTTCTATTGATGCCTCACAAGAGGAAACATATCTACACAATCACTTAACACTATCGCTCGCTTTAGACACCGATCACGTCTACTTTTTATTCTCTCGAGTCCTAGCTGTGGACAAGACTCGCGTCCACTCCAAAAATATTTGTATAAAATTCATTTTTTATCCAATCGACCTCGGGATAAGTTTCAAAATAAGCGCCTTTAGAGTGCGCACAATTTGATACCAAAATGAAAGATGTAATATGAAACTTGATGTCCGAACACTTGAAAGATTATAGATACGTTTTTGGTCAAAATTTTAAAATATTTGTTAAAATTCTATTTATTGTGCCATTATGTTGGGACTAGTTGTAAAATGCGTGCCATTACACTGCGAACAATTTGATACCAAATTAAAGATGTAACACAAAAATTTATGTCAGAACACTGGAAAGATATAAATAATTTTGTGATGATGAGCTTCCAGAATTAAAATATTTGTTAAAATTCCAGTTATTGCTCTATTATTATCGGACTAGTTTTAAAATACGCGCCTTTTTATTGCGAACAATTTGATACCAAAATGAAAGACGTAACACGAAAATTGATGTTCTCAAACTGAACGAGTATACACATTAGGTTGCGGTGTGCCAATTGGTGCTCATTTACGGGTAATTTTAGGCTTTCCTGCGGGGGAGGCACCCCGGGCTTTTGTACATTATATTCATATACACCTGTAAGGAATTTAATTGCGAACACAATGATACCAAAACGAACGATGTAGCACGAGAATTAAAGTGAGAAAACTGAATCGAGTATACACATTTCAGTGTTGCACGCTTGCCCGCATGACCTTTAAGTTGGCAGCACGTATGGCCAGGGCGCGATAGTGTTAATATAAAACAAATGGAAATACCTGTAATAATAAAAGCAGGCTGGGACTTGCCAGAGGCAATTTATGTGTAATACTGGACATATGGCCAAGGTTAAATAGGAGCACCAGACTTAGGCACAAGTGCTACAGCACAGCACCACACCCTGGCACCTTGGGAATTCTAGAGCACAGAGATAATGGTCTGCTTGAACCCAACTAGTGTACAAAGGTTCATGAATCCTGAAGTAGACGGCAAATATGTTCGAAAAGAAGGCCACCAGCACAGCATACTTCCAAACATCATGAGCAAGGATAGAAAGAAGGATGACGAAGTCTCAATACCAGTTCCTATCTTAATTTAGCCGGGTCTTTACCTATGCTTTTGTCCGGATAAATAGGGTTGTGGTGAACACCTTATCCATGGATGCTTATACCTGTCTTTAACCAAATGTAAAGACTTGCCTCTCTGAGTTGGCAGGTCTGCTAGTGTTGGGCTTATGGAGACACACGTACTTAAAGCAGCGATACATCAGGTACACGAGGCCAACACTGAACGTTGTAAACACATCAAAAAGCTTGCACACAAAATGACCATCTGAAATGAGAATTTGATATAAGCAAGTACTATAAAAAGATTTATTTTTAGTCTATCAATTATTTTAAATAGATCCAGAAGCACATATTTAGATACTATTCTTACAAAATGTAAATTATTTACATCAAAATTTACAAATGGCAATTATCATCAGTAGCACAGGATATTGCTTGAGTTATTACTATATATGTGGGATTGTAAACTATTATAGCAATGATCTTCCCTGGTGTAAATAATAAACAATACAGCTTATTCTAAAACAGCTACTTTGTTAGTAACTAAATCCAGAATGTGTTCATTGTGATCATCATTACAATACTAAATTTCACAGGGTGGAGAGGCATTTCCATAAAGAATAAAAAAACAGAGTTGAATGTAATGAAACGCCATTTTCTGGGTGAGTTCCGGAGGTTCCCCGGAGCTATCTAGGCTGAATGGATATGTATAACTTTCTGGCATCAGTCAGTGCATGGAGTTCTTGCCTACCGGGGACCACGAGCCAGAACCTGGCCCCCTCTAGAGAGGCACAAGGAGTAATGGTCTATAGAGACCCCCCCGTATGATTGGGACCATTCTATGTCTGCCATCAACCGGGATAGGCACCCAAAAAGGTAGGCGCCCCCCAAAAAAACCCTATTCTGGTAAACTATTGCGACTAAGACCGAACAAGTGGACAGAACTCCCCAAACGAAAATTAGCAAACAAGCATGACGTCATCATGTCGCCGCGCCGCTGTCTGTGCAACCCCCCCTCCCCGGGATGGGGAAGGAGGTAGCCCCAGACCCCACCGTCGGCGACTCAACCATTTGTTCTTAGGCTGGATCTCAAGAACGTGAAAACACCTCCGACCAGAGGGAGGGAGGGATGCCGGGGAGCCTCCGGAACTTCCCCAGAAAATGGCGCTTCATTACATTCAACGCTGGTTTTCTGGGGGGAGCCCTGTTGGCTTCCCGGAGCTAACTACCCAAAGATAAGGAAAAACAGGGACTTACCCGAGAGGCAGTCCGTCCTCACTCCTCAATGCGAAGTCGAGACAACTGGCTGCAACCGCCGACCCAATGCAACGTAGGGCCGACCAGGCCCAGGAACATTCACCAGGTAGCGAGCGGCCAGGACCCTGTTCGATCTCCAAAAACCCTGGGCCCTAATGTCCACCCAAGACATGTTGCCAAAGACGGCAGCCAAAGCAGCAAATTTGCGAACGTCGTGGGCCCGGTGAATAACCGCAGGCTGGCTACACTTAACCCTTAACATGCTCGGGGTTTAATATTCTGTCATCCCCACAGGCGCATGTCATTTTGAAAAAAAAAAAATTATTTTTTCTTCCTAACCTGTTAATTTGTGATCACTGATCACGGCAAAAATAATACAAAAATCGTAAGTGGCATATATTGCCCGCTATAGGGCGGGGAAGTCTGGCAAATTATAGGCGCTGACTCAGCGTGCGTCCCAGGTGGTCTGTTGCTCGCAAGCTGTCAGGCCGGAGTTGCCACAAAGAGATAATTACCGAATTATTTCAATGTCTCTGATTGATTTTTCATACTTTTTTTGCTGTAATATTATTCAATAGTGTGTAGTTTGATATATTTATATAATAAAATGAGTGAATCATTGCTGTACTCAAAAATATGGTGTGCATATTGTTGATTCAATTATGTTCTTCAATCAGTGAACAAATACTTTGTCGGTTATTACATTATAAGCACAGGTTATATATAAAAGTATCTGCATGTTTTGTTCACTATAACGAACCACTAAGTAGCTATTATGAGTCAAAAAGTAACGAGGAGTGACCGCCGTTTACCAGCCAGCCACTCCCGCCCTCCCTCCAGTCATCTGACTCACCCACATTCTCCTCCTGCAATAATGTTTTTGCTATAATTCACTATATACAGACGTTATATATAAGTATCTACATGTTTTGTTCACCATAACTGTACATCTAAGCTTGTATGGTGAGTAAAGGCACAAAGATGTGGCTACTCACACAGTCAGCTGATCGGTGGCTGCCCTCAAGGCCAGACGCACTAATATTTCTCCTCCAACAATACTGTGTGGTGTTATTACGCTATATACACACATTATATATAAATATCTACCTGTTTTATTCACCATACTTGTACAAATGAACTGGTATGGTGCCCAAAGACCATCATGGTAACCAGTAAACAACACCGTCGTCTGCACGGTGGCGTCGTGCAGACGACGCCACCCCCCTCACCAAAATGGCGGCTCCAAACCTTCTCTTGCTGTTTATACCCTCTATACACACGTTATATATAAGTATCTACATTTGTGTTCACCATAGCGAACCACTAAGCTGGTATGCTGAGTGCAGTCAATAAAAGGTGGCCACTCACAGTCAAAAGACATCGCCACCACCCTCCCTCTAACAGCATTACTCCTCCCTCCATGGCGCACAGCGCTAAATATCACCACAATCCTGCTATTATCAGAACCCTGGTCAGTTTTATCACAGTCAGGGGTCTTCTGTAATAATATCATCGCTACATAATAGCATGAACAAGTATAATTTGGCATTTTTAGGCGATGCTGTGGTCACAAGCTGAACAGCAGTGCTGTTAGCTCATGCTGCGTGCGTCAGGCTTGGTTGCCCTGATGAAGGTGTGGTGAACCCCGTGTATCCGCAGGCTGTTTAAATCTTGCGTAGTACTCCAACACATCATATGACGTGATGCGCAGTTGACTGGAACAACGTCCAGCACGTCATATGACGTGATGCGCACTTTAAGGGTTAATAACCCTGCGGACAACCTGAGAGACCCGAGCCCGGGAAAAGGGAAGAAGAGAAACCAGATCAACCCAGAGTGCATCCCAGGCAACAGAAGCTGTGGCGCGCAAATAACGGTGGAGAGTCAAAACCAGACATAACACATGATGCACCCATGTCCTGACCCATCAAGAATCAACAACCCACAGCCTGACCCATCAAGCATCAACAACCCACGGTCCCCTCTGGAACGCAGCCATCTCATTCTTCGCCAGAAAAGAGGGAGACGGCTGCAAGCGAACAAAACGATCACCCAGGCCCGAAAGAGCAAAAACCTCAACGCTGGAGGAGAGCATGAAGCTCCCCAACCCGACCCCCAGAGGCCAATGCCAAAAGGAAAAGAGCCTTAGAAAAACAATCCCGAACGGAAGGGACCACAACAAACCGAGAAGAGAGAATCAAGAGCACGCGGTCCAAGGACCAAGACGGCTCAGGCGACACATGAGCAGGCTGGAGGTGAAACGCCCGAGACAACTTGCAAAACGGGGCAGAAGTAATATCAACACCGAAAGCAAGGTGAAGCGGCTCCACCAATGCAGCACGATACGAAGCGACAGTATTCGGCATAAGATGACGGTCCTGAAACAACCAAGAGAGCAAGGACAGAACAACCCTATCAGAGACCGAAGAACAGCGACGCAGTGATAGGAAAAACCAGAAGGACTGCCAGGAAACCTCATACTGCCGCTGAGACGAAGCACGCAGGTGAGAGACCAACAACGAAGCCACCTGCGCACCATACAAGGAATGATAAATCTAAGTCAAAAACACAAGACGTGAAGACTTGAGGAGAAGACCAAACCAGCCTCGTATAAGGCTGGACCGATCTGCTGAAAGAGGCGGAGCCGCGGGAAGGTGTCCGAACCTTGCTCGGGCTCGGACACTGAGCAAGCAGCACCTGAAACTAAGGCTGGGCCGGCCACCAAGGAGCCAGAAGGACAACTCGACCTCGGTAAGTCTCCAAGTGAGTCAGGACCTGGAGCAACAGCGGATGGGGGAAAAAGATACAGGTAATCCCACCTCACCTAGTCCTGCCTGAAGGTGTCGACCCCGACAGCCTCGCAGTCGGGGAAGGGCGCCACGTATACCAGGAGACACCTCGACCACACCGACGCGAAGAGATCCACATCCAGAGTCCCGAACTTCCGGAACAGCCAACTGAAGGAGTCAGCGTCGACCGTCCATTCCGTGGAAAGAGGAAGGAACCGGGACAAGCCGTCCACCAGGATGTTGCACACCCCCCGGACGTGAACCGCCAGGAAAGCCAAATCCCGAGAACTCAGCAGACGAGTCACCCGAAGCGACCAGCCCCAAAGAGCCAAGGACCGCATCAAGCCCCTGCGGTTCAGGCAATGAACTACCGGGGAGCAGTCAGAATGGAGCCTGATCGTCAATCCGCTAGCGACTCAAATCCTCCGGAGCAACATCCACACTGCCGCGAACTCCCGTACCGTGCTGTGAGCCCAATGGAAGGACGGACCCCACCGCCCCTGGCTGGCATGGTGAGCACTGGTCACAAAACCCCAGCCAAGAGACAACGCATCCGTGTACACATCGAGCGAGGGCTCGGGAAGGCGCCAAGGCACAGAACCCTGAAAAACCCGAAGAGGAAGCCGGCGACGCAGCAACCGTTGGGTTTGGCCAGAGGCCAAACCCAACGATCGCGAGAGAGGCGGAAGGGCCGGTCCCGAAGGAACCAGAACAGCCGATAAAGCCACACACCCGACCCGGCAGGTAGACCATCACGGCAAAGTTGAGACTCCCGCACAAACTCTCGAGCAACCGCCTCGTGACCTGGGAACTCCGCAGAAACGGGTGAAGGCGGGACCGCAGGCGCAAGCGAGCCGCCGGAAGAAGAGAGAAGGAAGCAGTTCGAGCGTCCCAAACCAGACCCAGCCAAGACCGAACCTGAGAAGGAACCAGATGGGATTTCTGCCAGCTCACCAGGAACCCGAACCCGGCGAGCTGGGAAAGAACCAAATCCCTGGCGAGCAGACACGCGGACCGGATGGGAGTCCAAACCAGCCAGTCGTCGAGATAGGCCAGCATCCGAACACCTAGCAGACGCAGGCGGGTCACCACGACCTGAGTAAGGCGTGTGAAAACGCGAGGTACCAGATTCAACCCGAAGGGAAGACAGCAAAAGCAATAACCATGATGCCCCACAACAAAATCGAGCCAGTTCCTGAACCCCAGATGAACCGGGACGTGCCAATACGCATCCTTGAGGTCCAGGGACACCATCCAAGTGCCCCCCTCCAAGAGAAGACGGACCTGGGATAGCGTAGTCATCCGGAAGGAGGGGCACAAAACCCACGGGTTCAGACGGGACAAGTCCAGAATGAACCGCAGGTCCGCACAGTCCCATTTCGGGACTGGAAACAGGCAGGAAACCCACCTGAGGGACGATGTCGTTTCGACCACGCCGAAGCGAACCCACTCCGAGATGACCCGACAAAGCGCAGGAGAAGAGGCCTGCCCCGCCAGCCCCGAACCCCTCGAGGGAGGAGGAGCCACCCAACGCCACCACAGGCTGCACGAAACGACCCAAAAAGCCCACGAATCGTGGGACCAGGCGTGAGCAATCTGGGCGAGCCCCCCCCCCCATCGCCCCGTCAATGGGACAAACCATGAAAGGGCCGACACGCCTTGCGAGAACCTAAGTGGCGAACAGGACGGTCCCCATGCCGACGAGCAACAGCTAGAACCAAAGGAGCCCCCACCAGCCCCGAATCCAGCACCAAAGGCCTACCCAGATGAAAAGACCCTCGAGCCCTGGCACGACCCTTGTGGGAAGGCCTCCCCGCGAGCCCCCCGGGACCGACAGAACGTGTGCCAAGCCTCCAACAAAAAGAGAGGACAGTCTGCCAACCAGGATGACTCCGGAACTTCACAATGAAACCAGTACGAACCAGGGGATCCGTACATGAAGGAACGCGGATCCATCATGAAGGCATAATCCAGGTCACGCAGAAGGTAAGCCGTCAAGGCCTCTCGCACCTCCGAAGACGAAACACGGGAAGCTGGAAACCTCTGGAAAGACAGAACCAAAGAACCCGCGGGATCACGGAACCGAACTCGGGGAGGGGTGGACGCCAAATCCAATTCGTACGCGGAGGGAGCGAAAGAGAACCCCTCTCCTTGTAACACCAAGCCCTGCTTAGAGGGTAGAAAAACCCAGGCGGGGTCCAACAGGGCCCAAGGCTCCCAAGCCAACCCTAGGAACCTCGCCCAGAGGACCCGGGGCCAAGCCATCCTCCTGAGCCCCCACCCCCAATGAATAGGTGGGAGCAGCCGAAAAAGCAGGAACAAAGTGGGTCCACTGGCCAGACCCAGAAGCTCCGGCAGAAGGACCAGGCTTGAATGCCTCCGTCACCGCCCCAGAAGGGGACACCCCCGAGACCACCTGAGTCTCGCAACCAACTAAACCCAGCCCCGGCTTCGAAACCCTTGGAGCCAGCAGCAAGGGTGGGGGGTGGGGCGGGGGGGGGGACCGAATGGGCAATAGAAGGGGGAAGGACTTGGAGGGGCGGATAGAACCAGAGCTGAAGTGACTCCCACCTCCAAGTCCGGGCCCCTATAACCAAAACATGGCAGTCTCGGGGCATCCAGGGCAGCAACCAACCTAGCGCGTTGCAGCAACCTAAAGCAAGCATGCAACACCTCAGCTGCCCTCACCCACATATCAGGCACAGTAGCCTGGGTGAATTTGAGTACGTACAGACAACACACGTCGCACACCTCCAGGTCAAAACAATCACTGACCCAACAGGCAGCATGGCGGAGGCAAAACCGGTGAGTGTCACCCTAAGACAAGGGGACAGAGCAACCTTCAAACTCGCAGGATGCGAGGGGGGGACTCAGGGGTCACAGCCATCGGACCACGTAGCCCCCGTGGGGTTTTCCAGGGCCCTTAGCCATGGTTACACACTAAGGGAAGCCCTGGCAGGGTACTGTGAACCGGCACCCAAAACTAACAAGCAAACTGCTATAGCTGAACCCCCAGGATGTGTATACTCACAGGGGCCAAGCGGGTAGGAGGACCAACACAAAATGGAGATATAAAGATATAGATATATCCCAAGAACAGCGATGGGGGACCAACAGGCAGACCTCCCCCACCAGGCAGAAAACAAAAACAAAAGAAAAACCCCGCAAGAGGACAATGTACCCGGGCTGAACAGAGCCGGCCGCTGTTAATGGTAAAAACTAGCTGTGCAGTACCCCGCGCTCCTGTCAGTGACGAAAACTACCCCTACCCAGAGCCAAACAAGGGCAAGAAAACCCCCAGCTGACCCCAAGGGCGGCCATGTACCGAGCAGTAAATGGCACAGCGGAGGTAGACCCCAAGGTGACCCAGGGAAGGTGGCCCTAAGCCCCAAGGGCAGTACTTATAGGGCACCTAGGGAAGGTGACCCTAGGCGCATGCAGCCCGAGTACCATGGAATATCACTCCTGGCCCACGCACCACCGGTAGGGACAGCTCACACCACAAGGCACAGAATTGCAACGGAAAACTGGAGCCAAAGGCATGACCGCACCAGATCCCATCAGCCTAAGAACTAACAGTTGGGTCGCCGACGGTGGGGTCTGGGGCTCCACCCTTCCCACTCCCCGGGAGGGGGGGGGGGGATGCGCGGCGACATGATGACGTCATGCTTGTTTGCTAATTTTCGTTGGGGAGTTCTGTCCACTTGTTCGGTCTTGGGTTGCAATAGTTTACCAGAATAGGGGTTTGTTTTGGGGCGCTTACTTTTCTGGGTGCCTATCCCAGTCGATGGCAGACAGAATGCTCCCAATCATAAGGGAGGTCTCTATAGGCCATTGCTCCTCGTGCCCCTCTAGAGGGGGCCAGGTTCTGGCTCGTGGTCCCCGGTAGGCAAGAACGTCATGCATTGACTGATGCCAGAAAGTTATACATATCCATTCAGCCTGGATAGTGCCGGGGAGCCGACAGGGCTCAGAAAAGCCCCAGAAAAGTCTTGTTCATCACACTTCATATATTTTTCTTGTCTATATCTTTAACATTTAAAGTATAGTACACTATATCAGATTATTTCATATACAGCATAGAATTTATATATTAAGCATATATATACAGTATATTATATATACACATACAGTAATAATAATATACCTGTTCGCACTATTCCTAAAGCAACCATGAACTGGCAAAGATATAGTTGCTTTGATAATATTTCTTGTATATTCTCCTGGCCCTCAACGCTAAACCCTCCATCTGCCATCATGAAGTGGACACCTTGGTCGTTAGTTGTCTTCCGTACAAACTCAACAAAGTTTGTAATATTGCTTGGATTGTACACATCTCCATCACCATCAAGACCATTTATACCTGATTAGAATAAAATTATAATTTTACAGATAAAAATTAATTTGTTAGGCTGCCTAAGTTATAAAAAACCAGCGTTGAATGTAAAGAAATGCCATTTTCTGGATGAGCCCTGGAGACTCCCTGGAGCTATTGGGTTAATATGCAATCTTTAGACCAGGGCAATAGTCAATGAAGTTTTGCCTACCGGGGACCACTAGCCAGAACAGGCAACACCCACCCCTCATTCTCTTCCTGGCACATGGTCTAGGCATGTTATCTGTATCCACAGAGATCAAAAACTTCTAAGAAAAGTTTGGCATTCTACTGCATCTTTGGGCCTGTTATTATAACACATTTGTATGCTGTTCACTTTGCATGTCTCTTGTTGCCCCCATTGGTCTCAATTGTGTTCCAGGGTTCTCTTCCCTGATGCTGTCAACAAAAGCTGTTCTCTACCAAGCTTAATTGATCTGAGGAGCTTGGCTCCTGCCCTTAGGGTACACGCCTTTTGAGTTGATCCCAGATCAAGTAATGTTTTGGGATCCAGTCACCATTTGAAACCTGTTGTCAAAGAGTGATTACTTCAGTAGGAAGACTAAAATATGTTGTTCTAATGTTGACACTTTGCACTATTTTTGGAATAGCACAGAGTAGAGATACGCAGACATTTGTCTGACCTGTTATTGCTCACACATTCCTTATCTCTAAGTTTACCTGTAGTTTTCTTGTGGTCAGTTTTGGGAGGTCATCTACTACTCCCAAGCCTCCCCAGGCTTATCTTGTGATAACCTGATCTGAAAGGATGTTACTTAGAGTGGCCTGTATGCCCATATATTCATTATAACCTGGTTGATTTGGTACTTCGTACAGGAATTTGTCAAATGCTTCTTGAAAATCTCCCTTTAAGGTGCCGTTAGATCAGTTTTCTAAAAGTTGTTCAATGTCAACCAATATTTTTTGACTAGTTGACTATGAAAAGGGCTGCAATTGTTCCAAGTTTCAGTACTGCAGCCTAACCCTTTAACTGTACAAAGCGCCTGCAGGCGCTACATGGGGTTCACATCAGCTTCCTCAGGGCTCTTGTAAATAGACGCCATCTTTAAAAAAAATCGTGGTCCTCATTCCCGGGTGTGAGAGCCTCAGTAGTGAGTGAGCAGCCAAGACCGGCGCATGCAGCACGAGCTCACAGCTCTGTTGTTCAGCTTGTGACCACAGAATCGCCTAATAATGTCAAAATATATATATATAAAACTTGTATTATTTAGCCATGATAGTATTACAGAAGAGCTTGAGTGTGATAATGATTGTGTACAATGTTCAAATATTAGTGATTCAATGCTGTTCACGATGTTCACAGCACTAGCCACAGCACCACAGCATTATTTCGTCCATCTAGGAATCTTCAAACGACGTCTTAGGTTCCTTTACAAAATAAACTTGTGGTCAATTATGTATTTACGGGATTTAGTGACCAGTATTGTGATAACAGCAGAATTGTGGTGATAATAAGCACTGTGCGTAGTATTGTGGGAGGCGTAATTGTGGTGAAGGAACGAGGGAGAGAATCGAGGTAGCCTCACTGTGTGGCAGCCACTCTTGTTTTGCTCTTCATAATAGCTTAGTGGTTCGTTATGGTGAACACATATGTACACGGGTATATACAATGTGTGCATATACCCATGTACATATGTGCAAAGTATTGTGGGAGGAGTAATTGTGGTGAGGGAGCGAGGGAGAGAATCGAGGTAGCCTCACTCTGTGGCAGCCACTCTTGTTTTGCTCATCATACTAGCTTAGTGGTTCACTATGGTAAACACATTTGTACATGGGTATATACAATGTGTGTATATAGTGTAGTAACAGCAACAGGAGTATGTTGGGAGGAGTTATTTTGGTGATGGAGGTGACGTAATCGTAACGTCGTCTGCTGGCTGCTGTGTGATTTCTCATGCAGCGCATGGTGGCCACTGTAAAGTTTGGACACAATACCGGCTTACTTGCATAGTTCTGGTGAATAAAACAGGTAGATAGGTATACATAACATGTGTAAATAGTGTAATACAAACAATAACAGTATGGTGGGAGGAGCAATGTTGGCGAGTAAGATGTTGGAAGAGTGAAGGTGTGGCAGCGGACACTCGTGGAGTTCTGAGTGTGTGGCAGCTGACACTCGTGGAGTTCTGAGTGTGTGGCAGCTGACACTCGCGGAGTTCTGAGCATGGTGAATGTATAAAGTGTGTGATAGTGTATAATGTGTAAATAGACTGTATATATACATTAATTAGCATAATGCAATGGAAATATGTGCTGGATATGTGTACACATGTGTCATGCATGTAACACAGTGTCTTCGGACAGTACGGATGTTCTACTGCCATAATATAGTGTACGTGTTCATTATACATAGGATTGGCACATAAAAGCATATAAAATGTATTTGAAACTGTGCACAGAAAATGAACAAAAATATATTCGGGGCAACTTAAAAAAACCAGCGTTGAATGTAATGAAACGCCATTTTCTGGGTGAGCCCCGGAGGCTCCCTGGAGCTTATCGGGCTAATGTATGTTATGTTAGACCGGGACATTAGCTAAGGAGTTCAGACCTACCAGGGACCAGCGCCAGAACCTGGCCCCTTCAGAGAGGTTTCAGGGAGCAATGGCCCTGGAAAACCCCATATGGTTGGGGGTTTTCCTTATCTGCCATCGACCGGGGTTAGGCACCCAGAAAGGTAGGCGTAACAAAACAAACCCCACATGGTAAGAAACTACAACAAAAACCGAACAGAGAGGTAGAAAACTCCCTACAATCCCAAGGAAACAAGCAAACAAGCAAACATCACACTTTACTGCCGCGCCGATCGTCCGCGCAGCCCTCCCCACCCCGGGAGGGGGAGGGGGGAGCCCCGGACCTACCGCGCCGGCTGCCAAGCTCCAGTTCGGAAGCTAAGCTTCAACCAACGCGAAAAAACCGCCGACCGGTGGGAGGGAGGGTTTCCAGGGAGCCTCCGGGGCTCACCCAGAAAATGGCGTTTCATTACATTCAACGCTGGTTTTCTGTGGGGAGCCCCTACGGCTCCCTGGAGCTTCATACCCAAAGAGAAGGAAAAGAAAGGGCTAACCCGGGAGGCGGCCGCCACAAACTCTGCAACGCAAAGCCAAGACAACCGGTCGCAAACCTGCGACCCAAGGCAACAAGAACGCCCAAGAACAGACGCACATATGGATGGGCGGCCAAAAACCTGTGCGACCCACAATTCCCTGCGCCCGAAATGAGCCCGAGACGTCACCAACACAGCAGCAATTGCTGCAAACGTCTGAACAGCACGGGCGCAAAGACAGACCGCAGGAAGAAGGAAAACACTGCGGACGACCCGGGAGACCCGAGCCCTGAAAACAGGGAACGAAGGAACCGGATCAACCACAGCGCATCCCCAGGCACGGTACGCCGGCAACAGCAAAAAGCACAACTGGACAACACAGGACGCACCCCCCGGCCAAACCAAACAAGTACCAATACCCCAAGAACCCCTCCGGAAAGCAGCCGTCTCGACCGTCGCCAGGACAGAGAAAGGCTGCACACCAATAAAGCTACCACCAGTACCAAAGAGGAGGAAACTGAAACCGAAGGGGCTACCACAAACTGAGGGGAAGAGAAGAAGGCACCCTGAACAAGGACCAGGATGGCTCAGGCGACTCATGAGCAGGCCGGAGGGGAAACAAAACGCGAGAAAACGTAATAAACGTCATACAGTCTCCAAGACGAAGCTCGCAGGTGGGACACCGTCAACAAAGCCACCTGAACACCATAGAGATGGCGATACCTGCGTCAAAATACCAGACGCGAAGAGCCAAAGAGAAGGCCGAACCAGTCACGGACAGGACCGATTCGGCCTGCTGAAAGAGGCGAAGCCTCAGGAAAAACGCCCCGGGTACGGACACCTATCAAGCAGCGTCTGAAAAGAAGGCCGGGCCGGCCACCGTGGAACCATAAGGACTGTTCTCGTGGGAATGGGCTGCAACCGAGCCAGAACCCGAAGCAACAGCTGGACCGGGAGAAGAGGTACAGGTACCCCCCACCTCGACCAGGCCTGCCGAAAGCCTCCACCGTGAAGTCCTCGCAGGTGGGAAGGGCGCCACAAAACGGGCGACGCCTAGACCACGCCGACCCGAAGACGTCCATGGCCAGGAGTCCATAAGCCCAACAGAGCCAACAAAACGAATCGGCGACGACTGGCCAACCCACGAAGAGGAATGAACCGAGACAGCTGTCCACCAGGACGCAGGACACACCCCGGACACGAACCACACGGTTAACCAAACCCCCTGTGGTTCCGGCAAGAACCACCAGAGAACAGTCCAAACAGAGCTGAATGGTAGAGTACCTAGTGACCCAAACCCTCCGAAGCGCAAACCAGACAGCCATGAACACCTGAACCGGGCTGTGAGCCCGACGGACAGACAGACTCCATCAACCTCGGCCGACCTGGTGAGCACTGGTCACAAAGCCCCAGCCGAGAGACGACCCGTCCGTGAACACATCGAGCGAAGGCTCGGGGAGCTGCCAAGGCACGGAACCCCGAAAACCCCAAAGAGGAAGCTGGTGACGCAGCACCAACACCAGATCCCCAGAGGAACCCAAGGAATGCAAGAGGCGGAAGTGGAGTCTCCGTAGGAACCAACCGACGCCGGAGCCAAACCCGACTCCGCGGGCAGACAAGCACGCCGAAGTGCAAACTCCCGCACAACCGCCCAAGCAACCGCTGAGCAACCCGGGACCCCCTCCTGAACAGCCAAAGGCGGGACCACAGCCACAGTAACACTTCTGGAGGGAAGACAATGAGGGGCCCAAGAGCCTGAAACAAGGCCCAGGTCCGAACCCGGGACGGAAACAGAAGGTAAAACCTCCAGATCACCAGGAAACCAAACCCAGCGATCTGGAAAGAACCATCCCCTGGCGAGCAGACAAGCGGACTGACTGGGAGCCCACTCCAGCCAGTCGTCGAGGTAGGCCAGACACCGAATCTCAGACGCAGACAGGGCACTAAGATCCGGTAAAGATGCAAAGAGTATACAAAGTGCCCTTCACAAAATAGGGAATGCAATAAAAACAGCAAACCTGAAGCCCCACCACCAAAGCATTGTATGACAATCATATTAAGACATATTATGACATATGACAATCATTATATGACAATATGACAATTATAATCAAAGCATTATATGACAAAGAGTGCTGGGAAGACGGGACACCACGAGAGTAGCTCTCATCCTGTAACTACACTTAGGTAAGTACACATAGGTAATTACCAACCGTGCTAGCCCCAGAAAAACTGGAGAGGAACGTGCCAAGAAGTGACCTGGAGGTCCAGGTCCACCATCCATGCACCCGGCCCTAACAGAATCCGAACAGGAGACAACAGTCCTCCGAGCAGGGCAGAGGATCCAGGGCGCAGACGGAAGTAGTCCAGAAGAACTGCAGACTGGAAAAGCTCATGACTGCAAAGAGCAGACGGGAAAAGCTCATGACTGCAAAGAGCAGACGGGAAGCCCAGAAGGATGGGGCGGATCGACCACGCCCCACGCACCCACGAAGAGGAAATGACGAAGCGCAGGGAAGAAGCCCACCCCGCCAGCTCTGAACCCCCCCCAAGGGGGAGAAGCCGTCCTCCGACGCCAGCAGAGGCCGGAAGACAACCCAAAGCGCCCACCAACAGCGGGACCAAGCGAGAGGCAACAGAGCAAGCTGCTCCCCCAGCGCCCAGTCAACAGAGAAGGGAACAGAACCCCTTCAGAAAGAAAAAGTACACTACCGAAGTCATGAGGAGAGACTACGGGAATGAAACCACACTTCGCTGGAAGAGGAAGTGAGGGGAGACCTGATCACCACATACAAGATACCCAAGGGAATCGACAGGGTTGAGAAGGACAGGCTATGTAACACAAGGGGCACACGCACTAGGGGACACAGGTGGAAACTGAGTACCCAAAAGAGCCACAGATAGAATTAGTTTTTTTTTTTTTTTTTTTTTTTTTTTTTTTTTTTTTTTTTTTGAGTGTCAGAATGGGAACGGGAAAGCACTAAGAAGTAATGTGGCGACTCCTCACACAAGTAACGAGGCTGACCCCCATACAATGTCACATGTAGACATGACAGAGCCCAAGAGGCACAGGAACCGATACACCTGTTGACGGACGGTTGAGAGGCAGGACCAAGGAGCCAGAGCTCAACCCCCACAAGCACAACTAGGTGAGGACATATATTGTAAAAGCACAAGCCGCCGACTAGTGGCAAAGAGCACTACGCCGGCCAGGCAAAGAAGGCACAAAACTGCATCAAAAGGCCCACCTCGACAGCAAAACCACAAAGTCCCAGCACAACCACAACATGTGCCAAGACCCAAAAAGCTCAGTCTGCAAGCCAGGAAGACCCCGGAACCCCAAAAGGCAGAACCGGGTCACACGAGGAAACAAAGTCCCCTGAACCCACAAAAGGGGGCCCAAGAGGAAGAAACCTCCAGAACGAAACCAAGGAACCCAAAGGAACCCAGAATCGAACCAGGGGGAGCCCAAACCACCACATTTGCCGGCGGAGAACACCACTAAAAGGCAAAGCACAGACCCCAGCAGAACGCCCTGGGAAAACGGTCCCAACAGACCGAAAACCGAGGGGCAAGGTGTGGGAGCAAGCATACCAGCCAGGGGCACTGAGCCTAAACCCAGAGGCTCAGACCCAAAATCAACACCCAAACGTTCCCAGAGGAACAGGCAACGGCAAGAAAACACCAGAAAAACAAAGAAACGACAACAGGAGAACAAAAACCCTGCAAATTTTTTGAAAACTCACCAGAGACGCTCGCTCGCACACCCAGACGCATGTAAACAAACCGCAACGCCGCCCTGGTGGCCACGCCGGGAAACCGGCAGACGAAAATGGCCGCCAGCAGGGGCTGTGACTGACGCTTAATACACAAAAACACGCCAGCAAATGTGGGAAGCTAGCAGACTGGAAGGGCGAAAAACGACGCCCAACAGCAGAAAAACCCCTGAAGGGGCAAAACCGCCCCAGAACTGCTAGCAGGCAACCCCCACAGCCCCGGGAACCAACAACAGAGGCCCCGGGGCAGAGCCGTCCTCCAAGCCCTCCGCCCTTAAAGAAAAGCAAGAGCCCATGGGAAAGGCAACAAGAAAGGGCCGCTGGTAAGACCCAGAAGCCTTGGCAGGAGGCACAGGCTCAAACCTCCGTCCCCAACCCGAACGGGGCATCCCCCGAAAACCGCCCGAGTCTCTGCCGCAACTGAACCCCGCCCCGACCCCGAAACCCGCAGACGGTCCGGAGCCGGGAACATGGAGAGAAAGGGGCGAGCAGCACCTAACCAAACGGGGCGGCCACGGGGCATTCGAGTGGGAAACCAACCTAGCATGTTGCAGCAACCTAACCTAGCTTGCAACACGGATGCCGCCTGTACTCTGAACAGTAATAACATCAGGAGAGTACTGGAGAACAAGCAGAGAATCACTCGCAAGACTCCGGGTCAAGGTGTCAGTGACCCAACAGGCAGCATGACGGAGGTAAAAATGGCGACTGTCACCCGGAGACAAGGGAACAGCAACCAACGATCCCGTTCAAGACGGGTTGGAACCCGGAAGACACATTCAATGGTCCCCCGAGCCCAGACAGGGGTTTCCAGGGCCCGTAGGGTAACAACTACGGGAAGCCCGGGCAAGGTGTTGCTAACCGGTTAAGAAACCCAAACATAACAAGAGGGTAGATTATAGCACTGAAAACCCCTGAGACGTGTACAAGCACGGGGGCCTAGCAGAGGGCCGCCAAACACTACCAGTGGAACTATAACCACCTTAGGCAGACCCCCACCAGGCAAGAAAATGAAAAACAAAAGAAAAACCCCGCAAAAGTACACCGTCTCCAGAGGCAACAGAAACCGGCCGCCGCTTAGGTGGCAGGCTGCGCAACACCTTGACGCCCTAACCAGCACAATACCAATCCCTACCCAGGGCCAAACAAGGGCCCCAAGCCCCAGCTGGCCCCAAGGGCGAGGCAAATGCCGAGCAGCAAGAACCTCTACGGGAATGGTTCCCGAACGCCCCAGGGAAGATAACCCTGTTACGCAAGGGCAGTACTCACAGGGCGCTTAGGGAAGTCAGCCACTAAGCACATGCAGCCCCGGCACTGATGAAGTACTCCTGGCCACCGCACACCACAACACACGGCAGTGAACGCCACACAAGGCAAACACCGCCTAGGAAACTGAGGCCAGAGAAGCGTCAATCCCGGTTGACATTAGCGAACGAACTGGAGCTTGGCAGCCGGCGCGGTAGGTCCGGGGCTCCCCCCTCCCCCTCCCGGGGTGGGGAGGGCTGCGCGGACGATCGGCGCGGCAGTAAAGTGTGATGTTTGCTTGTTTGCTTGTTTCCTTGGGATTGTAGGGAGTTTTCTACCTCTCTGTTCGGTTTTTGTTGTAGTTTCTTACCATGTGGGGTTTGTTTTGTTACGCCTACCTTTCTGGGTGCCTAACCCCGGTCGATGGCAGATAAGGAAAACCCCCAACCATATGGGGTTTTCCAGGGCCATTGCTCCCTGAAACCTCTCTGAAGGGGCCAGGTTCTGGCGCTGGTCCCTGGTAGGTCTGAACTCCTTAGCTAATGTCCCGGTCTAACATAACATACATTAGCCCGATAAGCTCCAGGGAGCCGTAGGGGCTCCCCACAGAAAAGATGACACTTAGAACTGGATCAACTGAAGCTTCCTGGGTTGTGTGGTACCAGGACCATTCCTTTTCCTCACCAGCTGACAACCTTTTGTTTAATGGCTAGGGAGTTTCTTGACCTCCTCAACTGGATTTGGTAAGGCCCATGATGTGACATTTTGTAAGTGTCATATCCATATTTACCACCCTTGCCTGAGGCCTTTCTTGTAGAACACTTTAACCCCCTGCACTGCTAAGCTAATAAAAGCTGACAATCTCGTGGAATGAAAAAAAAAAAATCTGAATTTGTTTTTCTTAGAACATGAATGTACTTCCTGGATGCTAATAACTAAGTAGAAAGTTTCTACTTCCTGTGGTTTAGCTGTAATGGCCCAGAGAAGTTGTGTTTTTTGGTAGAAATGAGGGAAGGTGCCACATGGGAATACTTCCCCAAAACTCCTCTCATCTCTAATCCACAATACTTCCCTCGTCTCTGATCTATCTTATCTTGAGGTTATCTTGACATGATTTCGGGGCTTAGCGTCCCCGCTGCTCGGTCCTCGACCAGGCCTCCTTTTTGTTACACATCCACAGGAAGCAACCTGTAGCAGCTGTCTAACTCCCAGGTACCTATTTACTGCTAGGTGAACAGGTGCATCAGGGTGAAAGAAACTCTGCCCGTTTGTTTCCGCCTCCACCGGGGATTGAACCTGGAACCTTAGGACTTCGAATCCCGAGCGCTGTCCACTCAGCCGTCAGGCCCGTGATCTCCATACTTTTCTCATATCTACAAACAAACCAGATTCTAGTCAAGGTTTTCAGTAGGGCTGTGTAAGTTTCATGAGCATGTTAGGATGAGGAGGCTGTGTGGTGTCAAAGCCAAAGCACTGAGGAGCTACCGAAGGGGCCAACCCGGGAGGAAGCCACAGATGATGAAGTGTACAGCATACTGTATGAGCAAAGATGCCAATGTTATTCAAATCATAGAATATTTTACTACAACTACTGCATATATAGTTTTAAATTTAAAGACTCAATAGACATCATGGCAACTAAACTAGAAAAAACTATGAAGCCTTTGTATGTAATAAAATGCACAACAGATGTATTGATACTCATGAATGGCACCAATGGCATAAAAACTCACCATAATGAGGTTCAAAGAATTCAGATGGAGCGGCAAAGAAGTCATGAAGTTTGAAGTCATTTTCTCGAAGGGTAAAACCAAAGCCTTTTGCATCACAAAAGCCATTTGAATCTGTTTTCCGCCGCCATAACACATACTCGGAGAAACCTCCAGGGGCTGCACACACATCAGCGAAATACAGCAAATCTTCTGGACCAACTAAAGATTCCTAGATAAAAAAAATAAAACACAATAGGTGCTTCTGAAATTTTTTTCCACATTATCATACTTTATTACTACAGTAATTAATACTAAGGAGATACTCTACAAGCTCGTCTAATGTCCCATTGGACATCAACATAACTGAAAGAACATGGTGAAATTCTGCACCAATGCAGCAAGACTTTTCATATGAACTTTCTGGTTCATACTAACGCTAGGGAGACACTGATGAAAAGCTTCATCTATCCCAGAGTCCTTATTGAAAGTTCATTCAAACACCCAAAGTATTCTGAAGCTCCACTTGGCATTACATGGACTGCCATGTAGTGCTCTCATCTGGATACCTGGAAAGGACCTGGGAGTTCTTTTACCCCTAAAGATTGGCCCGAGACCAGGCTTGACTTGTGAGAGCTTGGTCCAGCAAGCTGTTGCTTGGAGCAGCCCACAGGCCCACATATCCTCTACAGCCTGGCTGATCCAGCACTTATTGTAGAAAACTACCTTTTTTTTTTTTTTTGAAGACTTCCAAGTTTGTTCTGACAATAGTTCTTATACTTACTGAGAAGATATTGAACATCCTTGGACCTCTGATGTTTAAAGTGTTCTCTGATTGTAAAAAACTGAGGTTACAGTATGATTGTTTTCATTAAACCCCTGAACACATTTCAGATCAATGATACACCTTAACCCTTTAACTGCGCAACGTGCCTGCAGGCCCACGTCTGGGGTGCGCTACGCGCCTCCGGGTATTTGTATTTTACACGTTCCATTCAAAACTCCCGCGGCTACATGGGGTTCACATCGGCTTCCTCAGGGCTCTTGTAAACAGACGCCATCTTTAAAAAAAAATCATAGTCCACATTCCCGGGTGTGAGAGCCTCAGTAGTGAATGAGCAACCAAGGCTGGCGCTCGCAACATGAGCACATAGCACTGCTGTTCAGCGTGTGACCACAGCATCGCCTAATAATGTCAAAATATATATATAAAACCTGTATTATTTAGCCATAATAGTATTATAGAAGAGCCTGAGGTGATAATGACTGGGTACAATGTTCAAATATCAGTGATTCAATGCTGTTCACGATGTTCACAGCGCTAGCTACAGCACCACAGCATTATTTCGTCCATCTAGGAATCTTCAAACGACTTCTTAGGTTCCTTTTCAAAATAAACTTGTGGTCAATTATTCATTTACAGGAATTAGTGACCAGGATTGTGGTTATAATTAGCGTTGTGCGAAGTATTGTGGAAGGAGGAATTTTGGTGAGGGAGGGAGGAAGGGAGAGAATTGAGGTAGCCTCACTATGTGTGGCAGCCACTCATTTTGCTCACCATACTAGCTTCGTGGTTTGCTATGGGGAACACATATGTACATGGGTGTATATACAGTGTGTGTGTATATAGTGTAATAACAGCAACAGGAGTATGTTGAGAGGAGCTATTTTGGTGAGGGAGGTGACGTCGTAATCGTAGCGTCGTCTGCTGTCTGCTGTGTGATTTCTCATGCAGTGTATGGTGGCCACTGTACTGTTTGGACACAATACTGGCTTACTTGCATAGTTCTGGTAAATAAAACATGTAGATAGGTATATATAACATGTGTAAATAGTGTAATAAAAACAATAACAGTATGGTGGGAGGAGCAATGTTGGCGAGTAAGATGTTGGAGTGAGGGAGGGCTGGCTGGGTGTGGCTGCTCACACTTGGGGTGTTCTGAATGTGTTGATGGTGAATGTATATAGTGTGTGACAGTGTATAGTGTGTAAATAGATTGTATATATACATAAATTAGCATGATACATGGTAAATATGTGCAACATATGTGTACACAAGTGTCATGCACGTAACACAGTGTCTTCGGACAGTACGGATGTTTTACTGCCATAATATAGTGTATGTGTTCATTATACATAGGATTAGCACGTAAAAACAAATAAAATGTATTTGGAACTGTGCGCAAAAAATGAACATAAATATATTTGCGACAACTCACTCGCCCCGCCCCGGGCGCCCTACTAGCCCCGGGAGCGTATGTCACGGGCGAACGGGGAATGATGACGTCACGTGCCAACTTACAGACCCTATAGCAGCCAAAATAAGTACAATTTCGAATTTTTTTTGACATACCCATACTGAGGGAAGGGTTTTTGACACTTTAAAAAAACAAATGAATTTTTTCAAGAGAATTTATTTCCTGCGCACTGGGGGGGGGGGGGGTGTCATATTTGGAGGCGGCGCAGTTAAGGGGTTAATGGAAAACACACTAATACTGTACTCAGTAAGCTACACATTAGATGGTACAGAATGTAATTATTACCACCTTCTTATTATAACACTCATTTACGGCATTTCTTTTCAGAGAATTGCTTTATTATTGGCTTGAAGTCAATGGTCTTCAGGATATCATTTTCCATGCACATGAGTGAAAGCCAGTTTAAACGATGCTGCCCTATTGTGCTACAAAGCAGATTTTTTATAAGTTTTAGACTTAAAAAAGAATATTCTCCTGTACAGTTGGTCACCATCATCTTCTTGAGGTTATCTTGAGATGATTTCAGGGCTATGCATCCCCGCGGCCCGGTCCTCAACCAGGCCTCTTTTTTTTGTTACACATCCCAGGAAGCAGCCTGAAGCAGCTGTCTAACTCCCAGGTACCTATTTACTGCTAGGTGAACAGGGGCATCAATGTGAAAGAAAATCTGACCATTTGTTTCTGCCTCCACCAGGGATCTTACCTGGAACCTTAGGACTACGAATCCCGAGCGCTGTCCACTCAGCCGTCAAGCCCCACTGCATCATCATGTTCATCGTGCACATGATATTCAGTGTGTTCATCATGCACATGATATTCAGTGTGTTCATCATGCACATGATATTCAGTGTGTTCATCATGCACATGAACACTGAGTGCAATTTCAACATTCGGGAATATAGATTTCAAATTGTCCGAAATAATTTTTCTGTACAGTGCAGGGAGTCTCTTAATTTTCATCAAGAGCAATGTAGTGCTTGAGATGCTCACATTCATTTAAAAGGTCATCATAATTCAGGTCTTTGTGATACATATTAGCCAGATGTTCACACTTTTTCTTTAGTGCATCAGAAGCAATGGTTTTCAATTCACTGAAGAAAGAAAACAGATTTCCAATCTGTGAATAAGCCTCTGCACATTTTTGTCAGTTCAAAGATTAGTGTCCCCAGAATATGGAGGAAAGTTTCCACTTTGAATTTTTCGGTTTTGATGAGAAATACCTCTTTTACTGATCCATCACATCTACTAAATGCACACTTTGTTTTGTTCCTGTTTTTTCCCATCACTGTAATCTGTATTTGGACACATACTCCTGGCTTTGAATTTATATTCACTAAATTTGTCTCTAGTTTCCTGAAGATAGGTTTTATAGACTCAAGAACATTCGTAACAACAAGGATGTTCACATCCTTTGACTGCCGGACCTTGTTTGTTTTGTTCATTCTTTCTAGCATGTCATTCCAAAGAATTGTGAGAAAGATTGTTTGCAGGTTTTCCATTTTTTTTGTTCAAACGTTCTGCCTCTTGCCTTGTATTCACTTGCTGTAAGGGAAGTACTTACCGGGAACCAAGGGAAAAATGCCCTAGGTGCATGCAGCCCAGCATACCAAAGAATGCCTGGCCACCACACTACACAAAGCTGGCAAAGCCACAAACACAAAAGCCACGTCAATAAAACTAGGCCAGAGGAGTAGTGTTGACACTGGCACACCGGTCATCGAACTGGGGTGGAGCGGCTGGCTCGCCTAAGTGGGCTCCCTTTTCCCCCGTTGGGGAAAGGGGGGTGGGGGCGCTACCGAGCAGACGTGCTAGTTGGATGACGATTTGCTTGTTCGGTTGTTTTCTTTTCAGAGGAGTTCTTTGGCTCTGTTCGGACTAAGTTGCAATTTTTAACCAGTTGGGTTTTGTATTGTTTTGCATACCTTTCTGGTGGTATCCCCGGTCGATGGTAGACAAGACAAACTCTAAATGTAGAGTGCTCATATGGCCATTGCTCCCTGCACCTCTCTGAGTGGACCAGGTTCTGGCTCTGGTCTCCTGTAGGTACACACAACTCCAGGGACTGATGGAACCAAACTAATATGGCACATGTCAGTTTGGATAACTTTAGGGAGCCAACAGGAATCCCCCACAGAAAGATCCGTGATCCAACTTCTCATTACTGGAGTTGAGGATGCAGTTATCTGCAAATACGAAGTCTCAATGGTCCCAACTTGAACTTTGCTTCTGGCATAGAGCCTCTTCAAATTGAATAGCTTTCCATCAAAACAGTAAGGTAGGTCGATCCCAATATTGCTGTCTCTAAAAGCACCAATGAACATGGCAAAGAATAAAAGGCTGAAGAGGCTCAGAGCCAGAATGCAACCTTGTTTAACACTGTTTGTAACCACAAATGGCTCAGAATAAATGCCCTGGTCTTGGACTCTTGGCAAGCATGCCATCATGGAACTGTTTCATTTCAGTGAAATGGTGAAGCAATCTGGTCCATCCAAATTTGGCCATAATCCTCCAGAGGCCCACACCGTGGATAAAGACAGGCTATTTAACACAAGGGGCACATGCACTAGGGGACACAGGTGGAAATTGAGTGCCCAAATGAGCCACAGAGACATTAGAAAGAATTTTTTTAGTGTCAGAGTAGTTGACAAATGGAATGCATTAGGAAGTGATGTGGTGGAGGCTGACTCCATACACAGTTTCAAGTGTAGATATGATAGAGCCCAATAGGCTCAGAAACCTGTACATCAGTTGATTGACAGTTGAGAGGCAGGACCAAAGAGCCAGAGCTCAACTAGGTTATCTTGAGGTTATCTTGAGATGATTTCGGGGCTTTTTAGTGTCCCCGCAGCCCAGTCCTCGACCAGGCCTCCACCCCCAGGAAGCAGCCCGTGACAGCTGACTAACACCCAGGTACCTATTTTACTGCTAGGTAACAGGGGCATAGGGTGAAAGAAACTCTGCCCATTGTTTCTCGCCGGCGCCTGGGATCGAACCCAGGACCACAGGATTACAAGTCCAGCGTGATGTGATCCTGTGATCCTGTAGGTGAGTACAGCTGATAAAATAGACAATATAGGTGAAACCAATATTGAACTAAATGCTGCCAATGTGAAATCCATACTTTCTCAAGCACACAATAAAAATTTAAATGTTTACCATCAGACTAGCATTTATATTTAAGGAAATTAATGTGACTGAAAAAGTCACATTAAAAAAAGACTGAAAAAGTGTGACTGGACAAATAAAAATATATATATCATCCAAAATTTCATCAGGGTGCACTAGGAGAGGAAATTGGAAGGTAAATGTGTACAAACCCTGCCCCCCCCCCATGAAACTCATGCAGCTAGGAAAGCATCACACAACACTTTCTCCATCTTCCTCTTCCATTATCCACCCCACCAGACACTCGCACTTTCTAACTTTCTCTTACTTCTATTCACTCCCCACCCCCGGGACACTCATAAATTCACATTACAAAACGTACAGCGTATTTACCCCAGCTTCATTTTTGGGTCTCGTAAACATATAGTCAAAGATAGCATCCATGTTAGCCATCTTCAATGCAGCTCTGTTTTGGAAAAATAGTTTTCCAAGTGTTTCAAAAGGATTACTTCGTGATCGACCTCTCTGCAGTTCCCTTCCATCAAGCTGATCAAATACACACTGTGAAGAAAATAAAATACAATTTATTACTCGGTATTGTTGCATTATGGTTCGATTCATATAGTCATTGTATGGCGTGTACTGTATATGACAATTCACAAGCACTGTACACCTGGTTTTATGAAACTGGATTCTGCTGTGAACATTGGAGTATGGGCGTGCTTCTTTATCTATGAAATTATACATTGTAAATAACTTTGAATGATCTAATGGACTGTACATTTTAAATGTTTATTATGTAATGTCTATAACCTCCATTTACTCTATTACACACCTTTCTCTGATGAGATTTTTCAAATATTTCGTTGAGCCAATAGAACCATTGTATCAGTGACACTATACCAGGTTCTGGTGATCTTCACCCCAAAGCCTGATAAAAGTTCTTTGCAAGCTGTCTTTTTCAGGAATAATTTTTACAGAAGGGAGAAAATGCTGTATCAAACTCAAACCCTCATTAAGGAAACAGCTTTATATGACCCTCAGCAATGAGCAATACCCTCAACACCCCAACAAACATTAATTACCATCACACTGAACAAATTAGCATTTTGAAAATACCACTGAAAATCTAGAGACATGCCACCATTCATTTGTGGCAGTACCCACAATACGACCAAACCAATACAAAACCTTTGGTTTATACTAAACATCTTTAACCTTGCATCACAAGCATTGATGGAGTGGTATAACAAACCAATGCAGATTTAACACTTTCACTCGATAACGACTCAGCATTGCGTCGGCGGCGGCTTCGGGAGGGGCACGCCGTGGTTTTTTATATTATATGCATATACTCCTGTAGGGAATTTCTTTGCGAATAGTGATACCAAAATGAAAGAGCTAGGACCAGAATTGAGGTAACAAAGTTGAAAAGAGTACTGTATACCCATTTTTTTAGCGCTCACTGGGGTTGCGCTCCGTCACTTTCTTTGTTTGCTGTGGCTGGTACGCCGGGCTTTTGGACTTTATATTTGCATATACAGTGGTACCTCGGAATGCGATTGTCCCTGTATGCGAGGTTTTCGGAAGGCGAGCAGTATTTACTCCAAAAATTTGTCTCAGAAGGCGAGGGTTACTTCGGGACGCAAGTTTGTTGATACGCGTACAGGCCGACCTAGCGCGTGGTGGTTCGGCGATCGTCGCCCCTCCGCCCCTCAGTTTACCATTGTCTCGCGCTCAGTGACTACCCCCACATCAATTCTTCTCGCGGATTTTCAGTGTTTTGTTTGATTTTTGGTGATTTGTCTATACAATTTGTTATTATATATCTCACCATGGGTCCCAAGAAAGCCAGTGGTAAGGATAAAGGCCAGAAAGCTCATGTGAGGATGACAATAGAGGAGAAACAAGAGATCATTCGGAAGCATGAGAACGGTACACGTGTTGTTGAACTTTGTAGGCAGTACAACAAAGCCACATCAACAATATGCACTATACTTAAGAAGAAAAATAAGATTATAGGTGCTAAAGTGGCAAAAGGAGTAAGAACATTAACAGCACAAAGACCACAAATACTTGAAGAAGTGGAAAAGTTGTTATTAATTTGGATACACGACAAGGAGTTGAGGGGTGATAGTGTTTCGGAGGCCATTATTTGTGAGAAAGCCAGGGTGTTGCACGAAGACCTTCTAAAGAATACCCCTGCAACGAGTGATGCAGATAAGAAAGAGTTTAAGGCAAGCAGGGGCTGGTTTGAAAAATTTAGAAAGAGAAGTGGTATCCATAGTGTTACAAGGCATGGGGTTATGTGATGTGATTATGGAAGGGGACTCCCCTTCCAAACAGTAACTCCTCTCCTCCTCCCCCCTCCTCACCATCTTCCATACGCCTACAGCACTCGACAGCAAGGTAAGTAATAACTGGAACACAGTTTTGTAGGTTTATTTAGATGAATTAGGTAAATTAGGTATAAAAATTTAGTTTGATGTGGGGTTTTTGGGGTAGTCAGGAACGGATTAATTCATTTCCCTTTATTTCTTATGGGGAAATTAACTTCGGAATGCGAGTTTTCGGAAGGCGAGGCGTCTCCAGGAACGGATTAAACTCGTATTCTGAGGTATGCCTGTACTCCTGTAGGGAATTCTATTGCGAACACAATGTTACCAAAATGAAAGACCTAGGATGAGAACTGAGATGTCCACAGTGAAGAGAGTGTACACATTTTATTGCTATTGCGCACTTCTGGGTAATACGTTCTTACTTTCTCGCTGGGCTTTTGGGCTTTATATGCATTTAGTCCTGTAGAGAATTCTATTGCGAACACATTGATACCAAATTGAAAAACCTAGGACGAGAAATGAGATGACAAAGTGGAAAAGAGTATACACCTTTCAGTATTACCGCGCTCTCTAATGTAATGAGAGGCACCTTGGGGCGGCACAGTGCTCTCTTTATGGGCCACTTTCATCTTGTCGGTGGGTGGAGCGTGCTGCAGTTTTTGACACTATATGCATATACTCTTGTTCAGAATTCCACTGAGAATACAATGATACCAAAATGAAAGACCTAGGACGAGAATTGAGGTGACAAAAGTGAAAAGTGTGTACACATTTTATCGCTCTTGCGCGCTCCCGGGTAACTCGCTCTCACTTTCTCTGTTTGTTGTGGATGGTACGCTGGGCTTTTAAACTTTATATGCCTTTAGTACTGTAGATAATTCTATTGCGAACACAATGATACCAAATTGAAAAACCTTAGACGAGAATTGAGGTGACAAAGTTGAAAAGAGTATACACTTTTCAGAATTACCGTGCGCTCCCGTGAAATACTGAAACCCACCTGGGGTAGTGCGGGGTTCATGCGCACGGTGCTCGAAAGTGCTAATATTGTAACAAAGTGCATCTTTCTAGTAGAGCTCTGGTGACTCCCAGAAACTATTTTGCTGAGACTGCTCCATGCTAATGAGTCATATCAGTTGCAGAAGTTATGTTTGACCTACCAGAGTCAAAACTTGACTCCCTTACAGAGGCGCAGGGAGCGAGTAACAATTCGCCACTACTGGGAAAGCATCCATAAAGCCAGCGCAGATTGACAGACAACTGGAGGGTACACAGAAAACGAAACTTGAAGCCGCCAAACAACTACACAAACGATTCAAATGGAACAAGGGATTCACTCAAATTTAGTTCGAAACTTGTTAGTACTAATCACCATCACCAGATGGCCTGGCTCTTGCCCTCAACCTGACTCCACTTCTTGGTTCTAGAACTGATGAACAACTCACTGACAAACCTGGAAATGAGGGAGCCATCGGGCTAACAGAGAATGAAAATGGGACTACCAGGGAGGAGAAGAAGCAGCAGGGACTAAGACAAAAAAAAAATTGCAAGTTGAGACACAGACACATTGGAGCTAGGAACATTAACTAAATAACGGCTGCCAGAACCCTGTTAGAACACCAAAACTCCCAAGCCCAAATGTTAGCCTTGTTGGAAAAGACTGCAACCAAAGCCTCTTATTTCCGATCATAGGAGTGAGGATAGACCACAAGCTGGCAAAACTGTATGACACTGTGGATGACCTGGAAAAATGCAAGCCTTGGAACAGGGTACCAAGAAACAGGGTCAACCAACAAGGAATCCACAAGGCAGAATTGGTGGCCCACAGGTAGCAGCTTCAGCTGCCAAGTTGGCCAGTTAGGGGCCTGTTAGGCCCCTAACTGCCCCCCTCTCCCTCAAAAGGGGAGAGGGGGGGGGCCCACTCTGGTGAACTGGCAGGTCACCCCACCAGTTTGTAGAATGATAAAAAACGCCGATCAGAGGGAGGGAGGGTGTCAGAGAGCCTCCGGGGCTCACCTAGAAAATGGCGTTTCATTACATACAACACTGGTTTTCTGTGGGGAGCCCCGTCGGCTACCTGGAGTTAATTACCCACATATAAGCAAAAGAGGGACTTACCCGGGAGGCGGCAGTACCTCAGGTCTCAAGACAAACATGAGACAACAGACCGCGACAGACATCCCAAAGCAACACAAGGCCGGAGAGGGCCTGGAACGGTCACAAGATACCCGGCGGCCAAGACCCTGTTCAACCTCCAAAACCCTTGCACCCAAATATCGACCCAAGACATAGTACCAAAAATAGTGGCCAGAGCAACATACTTACACACACATCATGGGCAAGAAAGTAGACCAGAGTCTGGCTAGACTTGATAACCTTGTAGACAATCTGAGACACAAGCACTGGAATAGGGAACCAGGGAAACCTGAACAGCCCAGAGGACGTTCCCTGGTACCAAAGCAGTGGGCCGCAGGTAGAAACCTAAAGCCACCACCAGACACAAAATAAGATGCACTCCCAGTTGAATCAACCAAGCATCAACAATGCACAGACCCCTTCGGAAGCCAGCTGTCTCATTATTCGCCAGAAAAGGAGGGCTGCAAACCCACAAAACGACCCCCAGGACCAAAGGAGCCGGATCCCTTGCACCTCAGAAGAACATGAAGCTCCCCAACCTGATCCCCAGAGGCCAAAGCCAACAGACAAAAGGCATTCAGAAAACAATCCCGAACTGAACGGGCCATAACAAACTGAGAGGAAAGAAAAAAGAGCACTCGGGCCAAAGACCAAGATGGCTCAAGTAGCACATGAGTAGGCCAGAGGTGAAAAAATGAACAGGAGAGCTTGCAGAACAGGGCAGAAGTGACATCCACCCTGAACGCAAACTGGAGTGGCTCTGCCAACGCCGGTAAAATATGAAGCGACAGTATTTGGTATGAGATGCCGGTCCAAAAAGAACCAAGAAAGGACAAAACCACCTCCATAGACATCGACAACACCCTCCAAAGGGAAAAGAAATTTCGGAGAGACCGCCAGGAGACTTCATACTGTCGCTGAGAGGAAGACCGCAGATGGTACACCATCAGAGAAGTCACCTGATCACTATACAAGTGCCGATACACGTACGCCAGAAAAAACAGATGCAAAGAGCAGAAGAGTAAGTCGAATCAGCAAGGTACCTCACAGGCCCGACCTGCTGAAAGAGGCGGAGCCGCGGAAAGA